ACGGACAAATATCAAGGCTGCTTCAATTTTTATTCAAGGTGAACGTGAATTTTTTGCATGAAGATACCATTAGGTTTTGTGTTGATTGTTTCATTTTGTATGTTTGATAACTCTGACTCATGATTGAACCTTTCAACCTTTTATTTCACTATAAAATGAATCACATCCAGTAATTTAATCTATTTTAATTGTAATTGCAATTACTTAACCACTGTGAAACCCATATGCTATTACATCTTTAAATCTAATACCAATCTAATGTCAGGGGAATAATTTCATTTCAATCAACCATGAAAACAAGCTATTCTGTCAACAATTTGTTGCTTTATGGTTCTCGTTTACCCTTGTCCATAATTAAGTAGACTTTTGAGTCTACCGAATCATTTGCATCTTTTTTCAGTTTCAAAATCAATTAACAGAGCATTGAGATAATATTTCAACAGTTAACCGAGAACAATAAAGCAACAAATTGTTGACAGAATAGCTTGTTTTCATGGTTGATTGAAATGAAATTATTCCCTGACATTAGATTGGTATTAGATTAAAGATGTAATAGCATATGGTTTCACAGTGGTTAAGTAATTGCAATTACAATTAAATAGATTAAATTACTGGATGTGATTCATTTATAGTGAAATAAAAGGTTGAAAGGTTCATCATGAGTCAGAGTTATCAAACATACAAAATGAAACAATCAACACAAAACTAAATGTATTTTCATGCTAAAAATTCACGTTCACTTGATAAAAATTGAAGCAGCTTGATAATTGTTGAGTTGTAAATATTTCAAAATATGGAAAATGGAAGACAATTGGAACTAAAAATAGTGTAAATCAAGATACAATTGAAATAAATTGTCAATAAATCTGATTTGTGTTGAAATTGGAAAGGCAAGAAAAAACAAAGGAGCTGTAAAAGAGGGAGGTGAGAAGAAAGTGAGAAATGTATTTCATTTTGTATTTGTTAAGAATATTGAAATCAATTGTTGCTCTTTTAAATTTTTTTCTTTGTTGTAATTTATTCATCCAATTTTAAATTAGTAATCTAAACCAGGGTATTAAACCAGTTAACCAATTTTTCACATTGTGTCTCATTACTTGAAAATATCTGACAAGGATTAGAGAATCATGTCTTCATGAACATATCTTGTACAGCAAATATTAAGCAACTCTCAACATTAACCATAGCAACCCTATCAACAACATTAAACAATGGCTTTTTGGTTATGCTTTTCACCATTGTGTTGATCCTGTTTATGGTGCCTTTAACTTAAAGTGATTCAAAGTTTACAGTAGTTAACCAGATTAATGAAAGACTCTATTGCTATATTCTGGACCAATCAATTCTAACCAGATCAACCTGTTGTTTTTTCACGTCTCTTGGCTTTTCTTGTAGCCATTTTCAATTTTCCATGTTACATAAAACCATGTGTCAAGTCAACTCACATCATGATTGAATTACCAGAATTTAGAAACAAAATGTTTTAATGGTACGTTTCCAAGAGACCTCTTGTATCCATCTTTAAATCATTAAATTGTGAAGTCGGGGAAACAGGAAAATGAAAAGTAAAAGTGATGATTCGTGCAAAGTGAATGAACAATAATCAAGGTTAGTTTTGACAATTTTTGCTGCTGCTATTGCTTTCAAATATTCAATAGTTATAATTTATGACTCAATGATCATTTAAATGTTTCTAAATATCATGTAGTTTTATCTAAAATAATCAGGAATATGACTATTTTGATTTACAGTTACAGTTTCAGTTACTTTTGATGGAGACGGCTTTAAAGAGTGGAGAAGGCACTTTTCAAGAACAAAGGGATTCCAACAATCCTCACAGTAATCAAATATAATGTACTCATTGTTTGATAAAATTGTTTAAGATTATTCATTATCTACCAGTTCATCTATTGAGTGTCCTGTTCATTATTTTCACTGTCTTCTCCACTCTTTAAAGCTGTCCTCGTCGAAAGTAATTTCCTGTAAATAGCATATCTTGTTATACAATGTAATTGTGGCAATTGCCAGCTTTATTGAGATTGTTTAAGAAAAAAATCAGTGAATAATGTATCATTATTTTGATGAAGTATTCTATGGGAACCGAAATCATGCGATTAAGTCACTACATTTGTCAACTTTTTGGTTACCTTTATCTTAAACATTCGTATAAATAGCTAATGAAGCTATTTTCCTATCAAACAATATTTAAATTGATTGGAATTGTAAGCTTTTAACTAAATTTATTTCAAATAATCATTGTACTCTGAATGGACTTAAATGGGAATTTAAATTGATGATTTTCTGGCAAAATTCTGGTAAAATTGATAAAACTGAACAATCTTATTGTTTTCTCTGTTACCTTGACAACGTTGGAGATTGTACACTAACAAAGAGTAGAAGTGAACTCAATACAGTCATCAGTGTAGTCACTGTGTTACTCTGAATGCCAGATTATGAAGTTTATTCATGTTTTAATCTGTTGTGATAATTAACCAATCAATAATGATTATCTTAATTTGCCTGTCATTTCTAATTCTATTTTTTATTTTACTCCTCCTTCCAGGTTGAAAAAATTCATTTACATCATAATTTCAATCCTTGGAAATCACTATACTTTGCACCTTCTCAGTTATTCAAATATATGTATCCGTCATCGCTTATAAACAAATGATTGCCTGTTAGTTTAATGATGGTGTTTCATCATTATTTTGTGTTATTTGAACCTAAATCACGAGGACTATCATTCCACTCTACCCTTTGACTTGGTGGTCAATTTGTTATTTCCGCCTTTTGGTTATTTCTCTTTTTGTTATTGGCTCTTTTGTACTTCATTCTTTCTTACCTTTAACTGTGATTACCGTGAAAATATCGAACAAAATTTAGTTCAATTCATTTTGATCTCCTGTGTATCTGTTATATTGATCAAATTTCAAAATGGCTCGATCAGAGACCTACAAAAGTGGTCGAAATAGGATTAACCAGCAAGTCAAGATTATGCTTTGGAAATCATTGATTGTTCGTCGAAATCACATCTCCGAATTATTATGCGAGTTTTTGATTCCATTGACGATTTCAATCATCTTTGTTATTGTTCTTATCCGTCTGGGATCATTACCTAGCAGCACCACTTCTCGCGTTCCAGCTCAAACCTTCCCGGATCCTTCATTCAATTTTGACCCAAGTATTTTCGGTTTTTCTAATATTCTATACGCACCTAATGATGAAAAGACTGTCAATAGAATGACAATGATCGAAAAAAAGCTGTCGATGACTGGAATTCGACCAACGTTTGCCAATTTTTCAACATCGGAAGATCTTTACAGTGAATATCTTAAAATGATAGCCATTGATCCAAACGCTTTAATTTTTGGAGTCTTATTTGATCAAGAAAAAGCTAATAACCCTGCATTTACGTATACTATTCGTTCCCGGATGCCTCATTGGTTGAAAACAACATTTTGTGTCAAAACAAATTCATATCCTTGCGTTGAAGCTCCTTACAATACATTTTCAAATCTCCAAACTCTTGTTAATCTAGCCTATTTGACTGAAAAATTTCCCGAAATTGAATTGGACATGACAAAAGTTTTATCTTCAGGATTGGTTAAAGGTTATCGCTTCCCATATCCATCTCACACTACAGCTAGTGATAATCTTTCAGACTTAACTCCATGGGTACTAGTTTTTGGCTTCATCATTTCTTATGTTTTTATTATTAAGCGTATCACTTCCGAAAAGTCCAACCAAATCAGAGAAATGTATAGAATAACTGGACTTATGGATTGGATTTATTGGTTTGCTCATCTTGCTGATCATTACGCCATTTTCTTAGTTCAAGCTCTCATTGTAACTGGACTTTTTACTATGAAAATTATAAATGGAAATGCTTGCGTTTTTAATTACTCGTCATATTCGCTCGTTTTCTTCATTACTGCTCTTTGGGGTTTAAATTTCACCCTATCAGCTTTAGCTTTATCCATACCTTTCAATCGTCCAATTTCAGCTGTTGTTTTTGGGGCTTTATTTTGGACCCTCCAAATTGTTCCAGCTTATTATATTGATCCTGCTACCAATCCATTGGTTGATGTGATTGAAACCAGAGAGTTGAGATTTATTTCATGCTTCCTGCCAAATATGGCTTTAACTTTGGCGATAAGAGTTATCCAACAAAAAGAGATTTATGGTTATGGTGCAACTTGGTCTAATCTTTTCGAACCTGCCTCAGTTTTCGGTGAATTATCATTAGGTATAATAATAATTATATTGTTTGTGACGTCCCTGATGTATATACCTTTAATATACTATTTGGAAAAAGTCATTCCATCACAATATGGTATTTCCAAGCCATGGCTGTTCCCTCTTCATGCTCTTTTCCGTTATAAAACAAACAAGAAAACTAAAAGAGAAGAGCCTTTAGACTGGGATCACGATAATTTTGAGCCCCTTGCCCCATCCGATGAGGTCAAAATTTCCATTAGAAAAGTTCTCAAAGAATTCGACACCAGTAATCCACCATCAATAGCAGTGAACAATGTATCTTTGGATATTCCTCATCACCAGATAACCATGCTATTAGGGGAGAATGGAGCTGGTAAAACAACTTTAATGAGTATTATTATTGGTCTTATTCCTCCCACCAGTGGTTCTGTTATTATTGATGGTCATGACATTCTCGAAGAAACCGCTGATGCTCGTCGGAACCTTAGCTTTTGTCCCCAAGCTAATGTCCTTCAACCTGAGCTAAGTGTTGAAAATCATTTAATGTTGTATGGTGCCATTAAAGGTGTCCCCATGTCGAAGCTTTCAGACGAAGTGACTCGGATCGTTGAAGACATAAAACTTAACAATTTTCGGCATCTAAAACCTAACTCACTTTCTGGTGGAATGAGGCGTCGTCTCAATTTAGGTATTGCACTAATTGGTGATTCCGAAATTATCATTTTAGATGAACCTACTGCAGGATTAGATCCTGGATCTCGGCGTGATGTGTGGAACATTTTAAATGAAATTAAAAGTCGTAAAACTGTGATAATGACTACTCATTTCATTGAAGAAGCTGATGCTATTGGGGAAAGAGTAGCTATCATGAGAAAAGGTAAATTGGCCTGTTTTGGATCACCTATGTACTTGAAGCGTCTTTTCGGAACTGGCTATGAATTAAGAGTAGCCAAATCGGAAGAAAGCTCAGTTCAAGATTTAACAGCAATAATGCAAACTCATTTTCCAGGAGCCAAAAATACTTATGCTGTTGAAGGGGAAGTCATTTACTCTTTACCGCAGGAACATGCAAATTCAAATGTTTTCCACATTTTCTTTCAAGACCTTGAAGAAAGAAAAGATGAACTTAAAATTTCTTCCTGGGGTTTGAGTTACACCACATTAGAAGAAGTTTTTATTAGAGTTGTAGACACAGAAGTAGCTCAACTTAACCACACTGGATCCCAACTCTTTAAATCAAACAATCAGTTAAACTCTGATGCAACAAATAGTTTACCAGCTCAAACAAATAGCGAACAAATGAGTGCCAAAGATTATCTTCATCCAACGATTTTCTTTGTTGCTGGACTTTGTCTTTTTTTCCTTCGAATCAAAGCATTGCTCATAAAACGTTTCAACTATTCCAAGCGTTATTGGAAAATAATTTTATTTCAAATATTTATTCCTACTGTTCTATTTGCCGTAATCATGCTTTTGGATCAAAAAATTGTTGGAATGGTAACACTTTTCAAACAAACCGTTCAGCTTAGTTTACAACATCTCTACGGATCAACTAATGCGCTATACAGTAATCCATCTGGTGATGCGACCATCTTTGGTGAAAAATTTGGAGAAGTGTTGTCAGCTGAATATGCTAAAATTACTTACCTCAATTCAACAACATCAGTTGATGACTACATGCTCAAACTAGGTGAATTTTTATCAATCAATCAATATATTCACGACTATATCGTTAGTATGGAATATACGGACTATGAGCTAAAAATTTATTACAATACAGAAGCTCTCCATTCTCTTCCAATTGTCATAAATCTACTTTTTGATACGGTATATCGAAATTTAACCGATTCAAAAACACTTTCACCTTATCCAGACCCCATAAAAGTTGTAGAATCCTCGAATGGTCCTTTATTTCGCTTTCAAACCTACAACTATCCATTTCCTTCTAAAGGTGATCTACTTCAACCAATTATTTCTACAGCCGTACGACCTCATTTATGGTCACTTTTGGTACAGATAACAATGCCCTTTCTTGCTGCTAGTCACATTCTTGTCCCTATCCATGAGCGAAGTTCAAAAGCCAAGTTACTTCAAATTATGACTGGTCTTCATCCCATAATGTATTGGATTTCCCATTTTATTTTTGACATGATGATTCACATAATATGTACTTTATGCATTTTTACTGTTGTCCTTACCTTAGACTTTCAACTAATCTTTCATAACGATTTAAATATTCAAAGTAAGTATTAATAGTAGTTGATTTAATAATTTCAGTTGCACATTGTTAATTAATGAAATTTTATTTTCAGTGGCCTTTTTATTGTCATTAATTACTTCTGGAGTTGCTTCCATTCCATTGGCATACGTTTTTTCGTTTCTATTTGACCGTCCCAGTATCGGTTACTCTTTTCTCGTGCTTCTTTTCCTCGTTTTTGGTGTTATGACGGCCATTATCAACTTTATTATTGAAAGTCTGGTTCCTAAAATAGTTTCACATTCTTTCAAACAAATATTTGACATTATTGTGGCCTTTTTCCCTCTCCATGCCATGACCATGGCAATTGTAAAAGCTTTCAGTATTGCCCTTGAATCAAAAGTTTGCAGTCAAGTTATGCCAAAACTACTGGAGGTTCAATGTGTCAATGCAACTTACTCAGAAACAGATATGACTTATCGATGTTGTCCAAGTAAGTCTTCATTTAATCATGCCATTTTCATTTAAATGTTAAATTACTCATTCTATTGTTTCAACTTTTTCCATTAGAAATTTGTGAAAAGACTGATGATTGCTTTGAATATCGTGATGCATTGTCTTGGAAATACGGTGTTTTACCTAGATTGTTGCAACTAATTGGAGAAGCAGCAATCTTTTCGATGGTTCTACTTATTTTAGAAATTTATTATGATCGACTCGAATGGGTTAATGATATCAAAGAGGTTCTCTTGACCAAACTTTCATTTCACACAAGTTATGCTGATGAAGATCCGAGAAGACGTAACATTGAGAGTGAAGATTCTGATGTAACTGCTGAAAGACATCGTGTATATTCCGAACGAAATGGAGCATCTCCAGATCAAGATATTCTCAGTGTGATTGATTTAAAGAAGCAGTATCGTAAATTTAGAGCTGTTGAAGGTTTGACTTTTGGTGTTCGACAAAATGAATGTTTCGGCTTGTTAGGTATCAATGGAGCTGGAAAATCGACTACATTTAAGATGCTTGTAGGTGATATTAGACCGACTTCAGGCAACGCTTATATTGGTGAGCTTGACATCATGCATAGCAAGCGAGGTTACCAACAAAGCATTGGTTATTGTCCTCAATATGATGCTCTTATTGATCTTCTTACTGGACGTGAAATGTTATATCTTTTTGCTCGACTTCGGGGACTGGAAGAAAAGTGTATTCCTGTTGTTGTAAATCAATTAATTTCAGATGTTGATCTGCAATTCCATGCTGACAAAGTCACTGGTTGTTACAGTGGAGGAAACAAAAGGAAACTAAGTTTAGCTATGGCTCTTGTGGGTGCACCTCGAGTTGTTTTTCTTGATGAACCATCTGCTGGTGTTGATGCTGCTAATCGTCGAAGAATGTGGACCGTATTATCTGCTGTTAGAGAACGAGGTTGCTGTTTGGTCTTAACTAGTCATTCAATGGAAGAATGTGAAACTCTTTGCTCACGAATCGCTATCATGGTCAGCGGTGAGTTCAAATGTTTGGGCAGTCTTCAACATTTAAGACACAAATTTGGTCAAGGATTCAGTTTGTATATAAAAATCAAAGTGGATAAAATTATGGATCCTGATTATTTGGTGGAAGTTCGTCGAGTAGTTGAATCCAAGTTACATGCCGAGTTGAAGCAGCATCATTTTGTTAATTTATTTTATCACATTCCTGATAAATCATTGAAATGGTCTTATCTTTTTGAAACAATGGAAACAATTAAAGAAACCTATCAACTTGAAAATTTTATTATAAGTGATACTTCATTGGAGCAGATATTTTTAGCGTTCTCGAGCAAACAAATTTCAACTGATTGATGTGCCATTTTTTCTGCTTAATTTTTCTTTTTTTGTCATTCTCGATGTTCAAAAATCAATCTTCTGTGTGATCCATTAAGAAATATTTATGAAAATCAAATTATTTTACTTAATGATCAAAAGTTTTCAATTATTTCTTGGTTTGTTGTGATTTCTTAGTTTATTAAACATTTTTATACCAATACAAATTGAAGCAAAACGATTCTTTTCTAAACCAATCTTTGATTGAAGAAACAATTCAGGAGCTCGATTTCATAAAGTTATCACTGATGGAGTCACGGGGTAACTGATTCTTAACAGATAAATTATCATGTATTCTATTTTTTAATTCAATGCAATTTCAATTTTAATTGTCTAAAAAGGATTACATTGCTATTCTTGTGCATCCTTTAAAAAACGGTCTTTTCACGGTAAAGGTTGTCATTTCAATATCAAGGTACAATTATTAACCTTTATTTAAATATTTTCATACACATTGTAGCAAAGGTTAAAGAAAAGAAAATAGATTCACGATTGGATTGAGCTACCTTTGGTTAAAAAATTGAATATAATGATTCATTCGTGAGCCCCACACAAGATGTTGGACTCCGTGCCATTGTTGCTAATGGTTTAAACATTGATAAATTTTGGTTACTCAATTCAACAAATTTATCAAATTTTTTATGGATTCGAGTTCCCGTCACCAATTAAAACATTAATTAGATATCCTGGAGCTCTTTTGTGTTAGGCCATATATAAGTGGCCTTACCATTGCGTTCAGGGACGACTTTGAGTTTGACAATTGAAGTTTTTTATATGCAGCAAGCAATCATTTTCAATACAAGGTTTGCTTTTGGACCCGATGCACACTTGATTAAGATACGAAGGAACCGAAGCGAGTTGAACAATCCAGCAAAATAATTTATTTTATCAATGTTATAAACTTTGGAGGGGAAAACCATCTGTTTGCCAAGCTAATTTAGAGCCATCTTTGACCCTGATATTTTCATAGTTTCAAGTTTCAAGTCTAAATAGGAAGAAAACGATGAAACTCTGAATAAATTTTACAATGAAATGAGAAAATTCTTTCACATGTGAAATTGTCTTGAACATTTTATGAATCATCAGCGAAACATCATTTCAAATCAGCAGCAAGTTTTAGGAAAACTTGAATATTTGGATACATTGCGTTGTATGAAACCTCGGCAAAGGATCGGAGAGAATCAAACGATTTATTAATCGCTTGGCCAACCTTAATAAATTCCTATTTTTTATAACATTTGTATTTAACATTATTTTCAATAAAAAAAATGATTAAGCTAAATGACAAATTAAATCAACATTCAATTGATAAGTTTTGCAGAAACGAAGATCTCAATTCAGATTTTTATAAATAAAAAAAGCTTGACTTTAAGACTAATCTCGTAAGACCTAGCTCGGCGAAAGACCAATGAGATGGGTCAGTCGATTATGAAATGTAATTGTCATCGCGAAATGTGCTTAACTTAAAGTACATCAGCAAATTTTTCGCACAAGATTGAACCAATTTATAAATAATTCAACTTCAAAAAATAAAATTAGAGTTTCCTGAGTTTACCAAAAACGTTGGAAGCAAATGTTTGGTTGAATGAACTGAGAATGCATGTGATTAAATAGAGCCAAAAGAGTATTTGTTTTAAAATTGCGAGAATAGTCAAAATATGACTTCAATTTAGTGGTTTAATTTTCATTGATTCCTATTCAGACTGATTGATCAAATGCAAACCGTCTAGTATCATCATGTAAAAATACGAAAACAGGAAATTAAAACATTGTAATCTCCCTTTTGATTTACCCATTCAACCCTTAAACCTAATTGTTACCGATATAATCAATATCAATACTCTAAATGCAATATTACATCAATAACAGTAGCTTTTAAACATGTGAAACATCTGATAATGAAAATTTTAATTTATTTTGATGCTAAAATTTTATATTTCAAAGGACTTGAGTTATAATGGTACAATTCATTGATTGGGTTAAATTCAATATAGTTTATGGATTATTTATTTATATAACTTTACCCATTGATATATCAACATCGATACCGATATCAACTCAAAAACTAAACATTGACAGTAATGGTGTTCATAGCAAAGATGAAAGTGTTGAGAGAAGCAAACGTTTTGCCTGTTTATTTGGCTGTAATTCTTGTGGATCTTCAGCCAATAGACCAAGACCTCGAGCTCGAAAAAGGACAAGGTTAATACCTTTACCACCATTGATTATACCACAACCATCATCGAATCAACTTGGACCGATAGCTGCAACTTCAGCCGATCCATTTTTCAGTTTTCCGTCACTGCCTGCTTTACCAGATTTACCTTCATTCCCAGCTCTTCCTAGCTTTCCCCAAATTCCCGACTTTCCACCTTTACCGGCATTCCCAGAACTTCCAATACCTAAAAAGCTTCCTCGATTACCTAATTTACCAGCATTACCAAAATTACCAAGTTTCCCTTCAGCACCATTCCCTCCTTTACCTCCAATGCCTCCTCTAGCACCACCGGGAGGCTTACCAGCACCACCAGGTTTACCAGGAGCACCAGGATTACCAGCACCACCGGCTCCACCAGTTGGTTAAGCTTAAGATTCGTTGAACTGAACTTGGGTTTGATACATAATTAGACCACATGCAAATAAATAACTCTTGCTCAGTTTATTGCTTAATTATTTTATTCTCAATCCTTATTTTAATCAGAACTGTGATGATATCGTTTATAAATCTAATCGACGCACCTATTATCCAGTTGTAACCCGATAATTGGTGCGTTATAAATTCATTGAATAATCTTTTACCCTCCGCCATTGTTGTGATAAACCAAATTTTCGGCAATTTGAAGCATCTTCTTAGTTTTTAATTATTTTATAAACTTTTTTACTGCCGGTTCAAAGGTTATATTTACAGTTGCTCTTTTAATCAATCATCAAAAGAAATATTCCAATTTCATCATGTTTACTTTATGGGGAAACTCTGTTTTTGTACCTTTCAACAGACTGTAGTCAATTGGTTGATTAGATTAAATTCATTGTATTACATTCATTGAGTTGAATGGAAAGATTTACGGATGGAAACCGCAAAATTGGCATTAATCTATCTGTTTCACTACAATAAGATGATCACTAGATGAAAATTTCATAATTGTTTATGACCTCATAAATTAAACAGTTAAATGTCTAATTAAAGTGTTTATTCTGGTAGCTTTCCTTTACCAATAATGAACATTCAACTCGCAAGTTTTTTCCTGAAATATCACTTTTTTGTTACCCACTGAAAATGATTGTGATTAAATCATAACCATATTGATGGTAATCTTATCCATATTATATCCGCCCATTGAATATAAACTATATATATTTGTTCATTAAACTATTAACACAAACTGGTTTGTTTTTAGTGTTTAATTATGAGGAAAAAATTTGGTTTGGAACGTAACCTTCAGAATAGATAATTATATTCCGTATTCCTAGCCCTTTGAATCCACTTGTTAAACTGTCAATTATTGTCCAAATCTTGACCAATCTTTTATATGATAATTTTGGATATCAATCAAACGCTTTAAATTGTGCCATACGGATTTTTAATCATTCAACGTCGTAAAATGTCAAATAAATTTCTGAGTGGACCCAAACCAAGAAGAATTGATTCAAAGACAAGTCTGACTGGAAATGTGAGTATCCATGATGTTGTCTTGAAAATCTGTAGATTGATGATTTTGTTGAAGTAGCCAATGTCTTTAGATTGATTTAAGGACAGTACTCAAGATAGCTTAAAACTAAATAATTTGGTCATAATGATAAGATGTCTGGAATAGATCACGAAATAAAATATTTTGGATAATGAGACAGTTTAGTTAATGTAAACATCAGTCAACGTTTTCGGATTCATCCGCTCATATGGTACGGTAAGGCTTGCGCATTATTATGTTGCGGTAAAATTACCGATTCAACAGCCGATTGTAACCGTTATTTCGGTTGTTTTATTCAAATTGTTAAATAAAACTTGTCGAATTTAATTTTGATAACTTTTAAGAATTGTTTAGTTATTATTTGCTTTCTTTTCATTTACTTTATCCTTTAGCTAAATATACCTCTTTTGATGACGGAGTCTTACCTTTTTACATGTTTTATTACTGTGCTTATGTATAGTTCAATGCTCAACAAGTGTTTAATGATATTGTATTGACACCATAAATATTTTTTGAAAAAAATTATTATTTCTAGTCTGTGTCGTCAGATGATAATGAATCTGGAACAATTAAAAAACATGGAATGGGAACTTTGGTGGCAATACTATTCATTGCCGGTGAAAATGCCGGCTGTGGGGTATTGGCTTTACCTTTCTCATTTGATCGAACCGGTTGGAGTGGTTTACCTTTACTAATCATGTGTTGGATTGACGCAGGAATATGTGGAATCCTTATTGGTAAATGTTGGCTCATTTTGGAAGAAAGATGGCCTGAATTTCGTGAATCTTGTCGATATCCGTATGCAGCAATCGGAGAAATGGCTTACGGTTCCTGGATGAAGTAAGTCTATCAATCTTGTTTTGATAGTTTCATCTAATTTTTTTTCTTGTTTCTTCCAATCACCTAATTTTAGAAAAGTCGTATCCTTTTGTCTTCAAACCTGTCTACTTGGGTCTGCAGTAGTAATTTTGTTAATATGTGCTCAATTGGTATCGGAATTTGCCGGCCAGTATTTTCACCTATCATTTGGATTATGGATATTAATTGTTGGCGTTGCTTTATTACCATTTATGATGCTTGGTAGTCCAGGTGAAATGTGGCCAGTGGCTGCAGCCGCCTTATTTACAATTACATCAGCCATTGTTTTAATTATGATGGAAGCTACCAAAGAATTCGTCAAAGCGGATATGAAGCCAGCACCATCCTCGCAGCCTTCTATATCGAGTGTTTCGTTGGCTTTCGGTACCTTTATTTTCGCTTTTGGAGGAACTGCAATTTTCCCCAACTATCAAAATGATATGAGAGATAAATCCAAGTTTCCAAAAGCCGTAATCTTCGGCTATTTAAGTAAGTTTCCCTCTTATTTTTTATTTGTTGAGGCGAATGAAAAGAGGTCCGCCACTTGTGATCAGATTACATGTAAACCATGTATTCAACTCTAATTTTATCTTAAAAATATCACTCATCTTATTATTCACATGTTATTGACTCATATACATTTTATTTTGCTACAGTTTTGATCGTTTTATATGTACCTATTGCTATCACTGGTTATATTGCTTATGGATCAAGTGTTAAAAACAATATAATCTCATCGATACCCAATGGACTCGCAAAAGATGCTGCCATTCTTTTATTATCTGGTCACCTTTTCGCAGCATTTCTCATTGTAATTAACGGGGCAATATTAGAAATTGAAAATGCGATCAAAATACCAAATGGTTAGTCCTTTTTTACATTTAGATAAACTTTATAGATAGAGCTTTTTCCCTTTTTTGTTTTAACAAAACACTATTGACATAATGAAATCATGGAATAGAAATTTCCAATGATTATGTCAAACAATGAAATTAACACCGTCAAAGCTCTATCTTGATAAAACGTCATATTTCATTATTATATAATAAATTAAGCAACTCTTTTAATAATTCAATTTTCTACTCAGCTTTTGGTTGGAAACGCTTTTCTGTTCGGACGGTGGCATTGATATTCGTTTTGTTTATTAGCGAAACAATTCCTCATTTTGGCAAAATTCTCGACCTTATGGGTGGCTCATCTATAACTATGCTTTCTTATATTTTGCCTCCTCTCTTTTATTTGAAATTATGTTCCATGAAAGATGAAAACTGGCCTGAATGGTGAGTAATAAAACCTCATCTAAAGCTCAACAGTGATATTTAAATTTCTGTATTTATCATTTGATTACAGGAAAGTATCAACTCTGGAAAAGATTTATTACTACAAAATCTCGATAGTTGGCATAATTGGCGGAATCTCTTGTACCTTTTGGGCCTTAAAAGCAATCTTTGCACCTGGAGCACTCTCATTGCCCTGTTATATTGACTTTAATTGTTCAAACGAGTAAAAAAACGAGTGTTTGATTTATGACTAAAAGCTCTATCAAACAAAACAATCAAACATCCATCATTTATTAGTCAATTCATCATCTCAAAGAGTTTGATTATTTTAAGTTCAACTCGTAAAATCTCAGAAATTATATAAATTATTATAAAAATTGAATGTAAAATTTTAAATGACAACAATTGGAATCACTCAGCTTAGTGATTCTCATTATATTCAAATTGAACCATCATTTGATTGACTTCTGTAAAATGATTACTTAAACTGTTTGAAAAATGACTCTGTGTTATTTTGCTATACAAATGTACATTAGATTGTTTGTTTACCTGTAAATTACGTGACTATTAAAAATTTCAATTGTTTGCTGTTAATCGTTTAATTTTAAGTTCCTTATCTAAGCCATTAGCTCCTCAAACTATCACCTTACAATGCATAGTCAACATGAGTTTTACCTTGGTTGATAACCATTAGTTTTCAACCAAAAACACTAATCAAAACAATCAATAGGTGTAATGATTTCGAGTTATGAATCTTGAACTGTTAATGATTATCTATCGACAAGTTAAACAACCTACAATAGTTTCCAATCTCATTGGATAGTTAATGATGATTTGGATAAAAGTTTCAGTGTTCACATGGTTGATACAGTTGATAAACTTACCAAAGATGGTCGATCTAAGCGATAATAATAACAAAACTGGACTTGTGATTCGTAGTAGACGCTTTTGTCTCGACTGGTTATGCGGTCAAAATTGTGGTCAACAATACCCAAAAGCACAACCAAGACCCAGACCTGTTCAATATTACCAGCCCATCTACTATCCTTATCCAGTTCCTTATGCATCACCAGTTCCAGTACTAGTTACCAATCCTCCGGCTCGTAGACCAGTTCAAAATCGTCGTGCACGACCTGCAGCAAGGCCTAAAGGAAGAGCACCTCCAAAACCACCGGCCAGAAGACCACCAGCCAAACAACCAGCCAGACAGCCGGCCAGACAGCAAGCCAGACAACCAGCAAGGCAGCCACCTAGACGACCAGCAATGAATCCACCAGCTAGACGTCCACCAAGAAATCCACCTCCACCACGTCCACCACCTAGAAAACCACCAGCGAAAAAACCTCCTCCCAAGAAACCTCCGCCTAAGAAGCCTCCTCCGAAAAAGCCTCCAGCTAAGAAACCCCCAGCCAAGAAACCACCGGCCAAAAAGAAACCTTCTAAAGGTAAACCTAAAGGACGATGAAAGAGATGACTTCGTATATTTGCTTATCTTTCAGTTAGCAAAGTTCAGAGACTTTCAGTTCATCTATTGATGCATCAAATATTTGATCAACACATTGTTATATTGACAGCATTTAAACGGGTATTTTTTGTTATTTAACCTCTGATTAATGATTAAGTTTAACTTTTTTACATGATGGTCCTTAAAATTCTGAAATCATTTTCATTGTGCATGTTCTTTGAATGAAAAGTTAAAATAATAAATCATCAGGCATTTTGTAGCTTTCTGTTTAATCGAAACAATTAATTTACTCAATTTTCTCTCAAATTTCATCTGAGCTTAATCGATTGATAATCAATTGTAGCGGCTGATTATAGTTACTCTTTCACCCTTCTCACATTATATTGTGACAAAATCATTGTTCAATCAAGACCAATTGGGAGTTTATCGATGTTGATAAAATTCTAAACTTGAGCAAAAATTCATGTCGAAGCTTATGATCTAAAAAGTAAGCTTTTAAGTTTGATTTCTCTGCACTCGGAATGTTCACATCAGGATCATATTGTTACAATGGAAGCATTGGCATCGTTTATCATTGTTCAAATAATAGTTTGATATATTTATGATTTCTTTTTACATGAATTTCCACAACTTACAAGGGAATGTGTTACTTATGATCTGAATGAAACAGGTATCTTTCGTTCAGATCGTGTTGTGATTATGGTTTTGACATTTCTATTAAAACAGCTTGAAATATCAATAAAATTGTGTTGAGTGTCAGCTCAGTAAGTCTCCGAGTGCATTGTATTATATGTAAAGTTGCGGTTGTTACTAAAAAGATACAATTTGACACGATTGTCACATTTATATACAAATTGACACAAATGGGTAAGAACGGGTGCAAATCAATTTCCTTCAAATTGAACATCAGTTGATTTGTACAGACATGAAACTGAGTTCATTTGTGCGATTCAAAGATTCTCTGATCTACCATTCTCGAGAAAATCAGGTTCGACGTTGAAATTTGCAAAGCTTTTTGTACAATTATGGAAGTAGCTATTTTCATCAAACTAATGGTACTGATGATATGAATTGAACAATGACTTAATAAACTTTAACAATTTAGCAACAATTCTCTTGATTTAAGCCATCCGTCTTAAAACTTTGAGGCTCAATAAATCGAGAATGGTATCATCTACAATCATAATTCTCTCACGCATTTAATTCTTTACTAATAAGTACTGCAGTTCGAGTTGAAAACTCGCCATTAGACCATTTAGGTCATGATATTTGGGTTGTAAATGCACGAGAAACAACTTATTCAACAAAAGAAACTCATCTTAATGCACATCTTGGTAAATAAAACAATTTTCTGGTTAGACTTACAAATGAAATGGAAAAAGTACTGCAAAAGACGCGAACATTTGATTAAAGAGTTGTTACTTGGCGGGGTTTGTAGGGAAATAAAAACTTAGTTAAATGGTGCTATTAATTCATTTGTCCGAATGACAGTTTTCTAGATAATTGAGGTCAAAGTTAAAACTTCGATCGACTTTTGTACAGTTATGGAAGTTGATCTTTTCATGAAACTCATTTCAAGGATGTAAATTTTGATGATCAACCAGACAACCCACTTATTTTGAGAAATAAACTTTTCGATTTTCTACAAAGCAGATCATTTCGATTTTCAATTAAACTTGTCGCATTCTGTGACCGAAAAATTGTGATGGTTGAAACTTAGTATTTGTCAACAAAAATTTATGCTACACATCAACGATTGAACACTTTTCTCAATTTCACTACAGTTCTCTCGATTTTGGCCATTGGCCTTAAAACTTTGAGGCTTAATAATTCGACAATGAAATTACCTACAATCATTATTCTTTCACCAAACCTTAGATTTCATTATGGGCTATAACAGAATATGACTGAATACTGAGTGAAATGCGTGTTTTTTCATTTAGCGAAGAAGATTCTTCTAGCTGATAAGATTTGTGTTTAGCTTTATAAATAAAGTCTTAAATCTGTCAACATAAGTAATAATATTCTTTAACTTTTTTTGTAGAATCTTAAATGCTTTGTTATTTATGAATATTATAGTCCATAATGAAAGCTAATATTTGGTGAAAGAATAATGATTGTAGATAATTTCATTGTCGAATTATTAAGCCTCAAAGTTTTAAGGCCAATGACCAAAATCTAAAGAACTGTAGTGAAATTGAGAAAAGTGCTCAATCGTTGATGTGTAGTATCAATTTTTGTTGACAACTACTAAGTTTCAACCATCACAATTTTTCGGTCACAGAATGCGACAAGTTTAATTGAAAACCGAAATGATCTTCTTTGTGGAAAATCGAAAAGTTTATTTCTCAAAATAAGTGGGTTGTCTGGTTGATCATCAAAATTTACATCCTTGAAATGAGTTTCATGAAAAGATCAACTTCCATAACTGTACAAAAGTCGATCGAAGTTTTAACTTTGACCTCAATTATCTAGAAAACTGTCATTCGGACAAATGAATTAATAGCACCATTTAACTAAGTTTTTATTTCCCTACAAACCCCGCCAAGTAACAACTCTTTAATCAAATGTTCGCGTCTTTTGCAGTACTTTTTCCATTTCATTTGTAAGTCTAACCAGAAAATTGTTTTATTTACCAAGATGTGCATTAAGATGAGTTTCTTTTGTTGAATAAGTTGTTTCTCGTGCATTTACAACCCAAATATCATGACCTAAATGCGCTAATGGCGAGTTTTCAACTCGAACTGCAGTACTTATTAGTAAAGAATTAAATGCGTGAGAGAATTATGATTGTAGATGATACCATTCTCGATTTATTGAGCCTCAAAGTTTTAAGACGGAGTGCTTAAATCAAGCAATCAATCGATAATTTGTAGAAAGTATGCAATGTACGATGTGTACCAACAATTTTTATGGACAAATAATAAGTTTCAGATCTTTAACTCTTATGGTCACAGAATGCGATAAGTTTAACTGAGAATCGAACTAATCTGTTGTAAAGAAGAAGAAAAGTTTTGTTTCTTAAAATGAACTCATTTTCTGGTTGCTAATCAAAAGGTACATCATTACTATAAGTTTCATGAAAAAATCTGCTAGCATAACTGTATAAAAGGCTTTGCAAGTTTTCAACTTAAAACCCTATTTTCTCGAGAAATGTTCATCAGAGAAATCCTCAAATCGCACAGATAGACTCATTTGTATTTCCCTACAAACTCATTTAGTTGTACATTCATTTAGTAGTAATATGAGTGCAAATGGATTTTTACCCGTTTTTTGCCCGTTTGTGCAATTTTCGTCAATTTGTGTATTAATTTGACAATTTTGTTGATTGCCTCTTTTTAGTAACAACCTAAAGTTTCATTTTCAATTTTAAGGAATCTTCTTGTGTAATTGATATAAATCTGTCAATACTCGCTTCACTCGTTGACTAATCAAGTTGATTCTCGTTGCAAAATATAAATTTTAAATATTCTGAACACTTGAATATCATCTAAACAAGCAAACTAACTAAAAGTTGAATTAATTTGCGATTTTTCTGGAGACTGTTTCAAATCAATCATTTAATGAAGAATAATATTGACCAATACGAAAAAATTGAAGAAAAACATTTGCTAGATTGTAATTTCACTACTAGAAGTGATTAAGGTCATTCTAACAAAAGAGGTTTTCATTGAACTAATTAGAGTCCACTCGATCCAAGATTACTAAACTCTTCTTTTTGGTTAATTAATGAGGCTAAATCAGCCCGCAATTACGATAATATCCACACGAAAAAATAATGCTACAGATTATGGAAATAAAGATTTTAGTTAAAGCTTACGGTACTTTTTATGACTGGCATTGTGAGTAGCTCTATAACCCACTTCCTAGTTACCGAAATCTAAAGATCAAGTGTAATTAAATAAAATAAGAGCTAAATATCTAAATTATCAACATTAAGATTAACATCAACCTCGACTCAACCCAAATTGGGTTGCAATAGTAGCATAAAAATTCCCATGATGGCGCCACCTGTCATGGTTTCATTAATTGAAATAAGATTGATTTTAATCAACTTTTCCCAGTTATCCATGAATTTTGCCGTAATTTATTCAATTTAAAATCTTGTAACCCTTGGTTAATCAACAGAGAATCCAAAACTAACCAGATAAGTCGATTATTGAATAAAAATGTCAACATTTGTTGCCCGAAAAAAAATAGAGACTGTTGTGTAAATTATTAAATGTATTTTTATTTAATTTAACAAATGAATGATTAATGAATATTGTGTCTCATAACTTTTATTATGTATTTTTTTTCAACCTCATAACTTGAGAAAAATACTCATCAATACATATCCGTATATCATTCATCCACAAAAAAAAGTTTCTTCTCCAAAATTCTTCCATTGATTTAAATATAAGGAGACAGAGAGAGAGCATAAAGAAAAAAAAGAGGAAACGAGGTTGCATTTTCATTTTCATAGTTGATGGTTTTAGCGGAGGAAAAATGAAGATGATCAGAGCGAAAAGGCGAGAAAAAAGATTTAACAAATTGTTTCGAGAAGTAAGGAGTTGCTTTTTTCAAATGATATAATGTACTTCGTGGTTGTGATGGTTGTTTTTAATGGATGTGTCAATGTATATATATGCTTATACTGGTGAGGTGAGATGAAAAAAGCGAGATGATGGTCAAGTTAATGGGTGTTTTTTTTGTTGATTTGTATTGGGAGGTTGACATATTACAGCTTTGTTTTTTAGTTAATTGTTTTCTTTTGTTTTTCTTTAATAAATTTCAAAGATGATATTCGTCTAGTTGCACTTGATTTCGATGAGTTTATTTCCATGTGAATTCGGCAAAGGCAAAAGATGATGAGAAGAGCGAGAACAAAAAAAGAGATTGAAAGATGCTTTGAAGCAACTAATGTTTTCAATGGATGTTTGTTTCATGATAATCAATTTGTATCAATTGTTAAACCTGTAACAATGAATTGATGGTGAAAACAGGCGTCTTTTTAACCTGTCATAACGCCAATGTTTTTCAATTCATTGACCAGGCTAGGTAAGGGGTTAAGTTGGGAAAATGGGTAAAGAGGAGAGGAAAGAGAGAGAGGAAAGAGTTGAAGAAGTAGTGAAAAGAAGTAGAATGAACAAGTTAAATAAAAACTAAAAAATCAACTTCAAGTCATTTTGCTTTATCTGTATGTAATTCGTGTAATTGATGACATTGAAAATGTATGTATAAGGTGTGTGTGTGTGTATATATAAGTGTTTTTTAAAAACAAGATGTCATTTTTTGTCGCCGCTAAATTCACATTGAAATAACCCTTTTGGTTATAATAGTAATTTTTTCATTTTATAAATGATGACAAAAATGAATATCAGAAAGACCAAGCTGTAGATTCAAATTTTGATTCATGATGATTTTTCAATGAAAAGGTGAGGAAAGAGGATGAGAAAGAGAGAGAGAGAGAGAAAAAAACGATGAAAATTGTTGTCATCAGCATCAATAGCAAATAAAATAATTTCATTATCAATACTAATGGTGGTTTCACTCTTGAATATCCCAAATCTCGGCAAGGAAAGGAGGTAGCTTCTTGTTTTGGACTTTAAGTGAGAAGCACAGTTCAGAATTAAGGTTACCAAGAGTCCGAAGTTCTGTTAAAATTGCCAACAATTTGGCGAAATAGCACCTCGCTGGAGGCCTGTGATTTTCAATGTAACTTTTTAGAGTGTCGATATAAAATTCTTGAATCTTTTCCACTTTTTTCGGTTCAATTAACTGTGGCCTCTCTGCAAGTGAAAACAAAAAGGAAAAGACAATTAGTATTGGACTTTAGACAAAAAAAATTCTGGTCTTTCATTAGATACATACCACTGAAAATCACTATGGCAGTGAGAAGTGCGTACTCGGCATTGTCAACCTTTAGTTGACACATATGTCGACAAAATCTAAATGTTGGCTCAATTTCGGGACCTACACCTGCACTTTGGTAGTTTTGTCGTGTATAAGGTTGATTGTTTGCGTACACAATCGAATCGGTCTTTAGGTCATATTTACGAGAGCATCTTAACATCATAACTTCACTTGAGCAAGACTGTAAAGAAAAGAAGGAAAAGGCATTAGAAAAATTTCGAGAAAAGTTGCCAAAAACGAAAGGATAAACATTTCAAAATTGTTGGTCTCTTCAAATATCGATAGCAATTTACACCATAAATTAGCCAGAAATCATTTGTTGATTTACAAGTTAAAACATATATCAACAGTATCAAGTAAACGGACAAGCAACAAAGCTCAATTTGCAAGTCAAATTATAGCTCAATGTGTAAACTAAAAATTTGGTTATCATGATAACAAAAGATATGCTGGTTTAGGTTTTCAAAATGTTGATCAACTGATGTTGGCAATGAAAACAAAAATGCATCAGCTACTGCTTCAGCAAGTTTAAGGCAACATAATTAATTTGATGAAACAATAAACAAAACCTGACAACAATCACTAAATTGCATGGAAAATGTCTTTCACTTTCGAGGTAAAAATCATGCAAGTTTCAAAGTTTCAAAAATTCAATTTACAGTAAAAAAAAGTATGATAAGTATTTAAAAAAAAGGGAAAGAGAGCAAACGATAAAAAAGGTTAAACTAGGTAAAGAGGTTACACTTAAATTAACTACAATTAAGGTGATTTGGGTAACAAGATAAGTGTGACCTTTAAATTTGATATGGAGGTCATGAGAAAGAGAGAAAAAGAAAGAGAGAAAAGGAGAACAAGTGAGTTTTCGTAACTTTTCTTGTTGATCAACTAAAAGAGAGAAACTTTGAAAAGTAAAGTGAGCGCAAAATGAGCAAAAAACACACACACTTGTGCACATACAAACACCAACAACAAGCTGAGGTCAAACATGTAAACCAGTAAACAAGAACGATAATGATTTGAGATGAAAAAAAGTACAGTAAAATGATCAACTTTGAGCTAAACATGCAAAATGTGTAAATGAACAATCGACACGTCAAAAAAAGAGTCGCTTCTTTTCAATTCCTTATGCTCTTCCAATCCATTTTGTACAGATTTTTAATTGCTTGCTAATTAACTCAACAATGGATGAAATAGTTTCAACTGTTGATCAAGAGTTGATCATGTCGAGTAGATTTGAAAAGAGTTGCCAAGTCCGCCGTTGAAGGAAAAGAAACCAATTTTGAAATGTCGAGGTGCAAGTCCAAATACTTACTTTCAGTAAAGTAATTTGATCTTCCCTTAACAATGTATCGAAACCTGGAACCCTTTTGGAAAACTCGACAATCAATTGGACCGTTAAAATTGTCATCTCAGCTATATGTTGAAACCTTCTCATATTGTCGTCTTCAGTTTCACCTACAGGGAAAGGCTGTTCAATTGGAATAGAAAATGAAAAATATGGAAATTAGCAAAATTTTTGTTTCATCTTTTTTTTTTCTGGTCTCATTTTGTATCTCATTGGCATTACTTACCGTTACACGTTTAACATCAGTCTCTGAGGGAGACTCATGTAAGTCTTGATAATAGACTAGTTGTTTAATTATATCCTCTTGCTGAGGTGACAAAGGTTTAATACCATTTGATGGTAAAGTCGGCGTTGTGGTCGGTGTTTTGGTACCTAAAACCAGAGTTTTATCCTCCTTGTCTGGTGAGGCGTCTTTTGTAGTACTATTAGGCTTATCTTTCTCCTTTTGGGCTCTTTTGGATTCCCGTTTGATGGCACATTGGTACTCCGGGACAACACATTCAGGCCTCATGCCAACATTCAGGCATTTCTTTAATCGACATTCTTGACATTTACGCCTCATGTACATATCAATGTCACAATTGTTTCCATATTTGCACTGATAAACCGCATTTTTTGTTATACTTCGACGGAAAAATCCTACGAAAAACAGGTCAAATCCATTGCAATGTGTAAAAGAAAGAAGAGAAATGCGAAAAAAAAGAAAACATTAGAACAAGATTGATTGGTACAAAATTTAAAGTTGAAATCGACATTTCCTATTCTATTCCATTTTCCAGTTTCAAAAATTGGTTCAAATTCAAGTCACAATTGCTCTTCATTAGCCACGCTTTGACTATCAGCTTTTCCCTAAATGTTAATGAAAAATGATTTCCAGAAATGCTGGACTCGAAAATTGGCAAAAATTTTGACCAACATTTGTCTCGACAATCAGCCTCTCAACCTTTCAATCAAATCTAAACCTAAAAGTTTCCATTTTTTCACGTTCATAACTAATCAATCTAAATTATGTTAATTTAAAAACTAAAATTAACTAATTTGTGAGGAAATGACTAAATATCTCAAAAGGTGAAGTGTGTGTGTCTATGAGTATTGGCTAATAATTATTTGTTTGTTATTGTTGATTCTTTTCAGGTAAAGATGATTGGACAAAATGTTTATAATGTTAACACAGCGGGCGGTCAAAGAAGGGAGTTTATGGGTGGCAATGGCCACATCTAGGTGAGTTGCATTGACAGATGACAGAGCACCTGTTTACGGTCCTTTTTCTTGAATTCATTTTCAACATTCTTTTTCTTTGCTCTATTGCAAGAAATGTTTTCCTTTCTTTTCATTTGGCAAAAGAAAAGTATTTACCTTTACATCCTTCACAGGTAAGGGCATTATAATGGTAACCAGAGGCTCTATCACCACAGACAAGGCAAAGCTCTTCTTGCTGTCTTGGAGCTGGACCTTTCTTTTTCTTAGGATCGCCAAAGCTATCTGCACTGTTGTAACCATTAACACTGTTTGGCGGGCTCATATCTTCTTTACCTGAGATGAGAGAGAAAGAGAGAGTAAAAGATTAGAGCAAATGATATAATCAAATTTAGGTGAACAAAAACTCTATGCAAATTTGGCGAGTTTTGATTACAATGCTATCCTTGAAGTTGACCTTGTTCAGTTGTTTAATTTACCAAACCCAAAAAGCAATTTTTTATTCTCTCATGAATGAAGTGAAAGAGAGTGATGAGTCAAGAAGAGTCCACTTTTCGGCCAAAAAAAATGACCAAATGCAAGTTTTGAGAAAGTGGTTAAGGGAGAGGTCAAGGTTTATTCTGTGTACTATGTTACAAGTGCCAGACAACTTGACCTCGAGGGAAGATTCTTAACGAAAGAAAAGCAAAGAACTTTGCTCTTTCATCATATGTTCTCATCTAGGGTCACTGTACGGTCAGAGGTAAAGTACGAAGGTTAGGCAAAGTTGTATGGTTAAGTAAAATGCTTATGGGAAGTTGTAAAGAAAAGAGGAAAGTCAATTTTTGTATGCAAATTGCATGAGAATCAAAGTTGGTGACCTTTTTTTTGTCGCCAATTTTAATATTAAAAAATTGACTCAATTCAAGGTCTATAAGTCAAATAAATCAATTTATCATTTAACCTTGAATGAAATGCATTAAATCAAATTGTTTGAAACATTTTCAAGAAATTGCATTTTCCAAAGCTTTGATGAAACAGTAACATCGATAAGAATTAAGAAATGCTGATGATCAAGAGAAAGAAAGATTAACCTGAAGATGGTCAAGTTGATGATAAAGGTTAGGTCAGCTAGGTCATAACCATAACTAGTAACCATAAGAAGAAACGAGAAAAGACAGAGTCTGTCAACACTGAATCTATTCACCTGTCAAACATTACTTTTACATATTTGCCTTTGTTTACTTGGAAAATATTTCATTTTGAGAAAATACTTTTAAATGCATTTACTCGACCAATTTTGTCCATCAATGTAAAGATATTTAAATGTTTATTATAAAAAAAAGGAAAAGAAGAAAATGTTTAATTTTACTTGGAAAGTGACCGTTGCCGAAAGGCAAATATTTTCAACGGACAAGTGAAGAAAGATTGAGTTCGTTAGTTGGTAAGTTATTGCAACTGACCACCATTGAACCTTTCTAATTATTTATCAGTGAAAAGAGAAAAGGTCATCTTCAATGGTCAAGAGATTTTTTCTTCTCGTTTCTTTTTCTTTTTGTTTTTGGTTAGTTTTTTTCTTCATTTTCTGGGTTTGCCTTGTTTGGATTGGGCTACTAGATCTGAACTACTAAACAAGTGAATTACAAGTTACAAGTTGATCAGGATGAACCGACTCTACCGGGTCATCCATCTCACCCCATTTAACTTAAGGGCTATTTCCTATTTACCTTGTGGACTAGACTTTACGTCAGGTGAGATTGCGAGTTTTACCTCACATCAAGTGAAAATTATTTAGACTGAAAAATTAAAATCAAAATTCAAATGAAATCGAAGAGTGAAAATTGTATTTTGCAATAAATTAAACTCTTTTTTTCCCTGTGAATGTTCATAGACAAATAGTATTGATATGTAAATAGTGAATCATTGCCAATGCAAATAACCATGATCAATGAACTGAATTGTTTACCTTTTCTACCTTTTTTCAACCACTTTTATATATGCATTTGTTTGAGTAATTATTTATTTATAAATAATATTATTTTCATTAATATTGCAAACACTGAAATAGTCAACTACCAACATCACAATTATATGGCAACTCTGTCTGGTATAGAAATGAAATGCTTGAAAAGGCAAACATAACGAACCAATAGTCATGGTAACCAGAATCAGACGTAATTTTGCTAGAGTATTTTTAACCTTTGACCGAGACTGAATCAATTGATTGATTGATGATGATCACACACACACACAGAGAGAGTGAGAGACGCATATATACATAAATAATGTCTATTTACCTAAGTAATAGTTGATGTAATTTTATCATCATCATTAACCAAAGTTATTAACAATCAAGTAAAGTGAAACAAGGTAAGAAAATCTAAAAACCTAATGACCTAAGAATCAACAATGTTCATGTTGAATTTCAAGCATTTCAACAGATGAAACAATTGAAAATTCAAAATTTTCTTGAATCAAGATATTTCAAGCTAAATTGATCAAAAAGAAACAACAATTAAAGGATAACTTTTTTATCGCAAGCTATTTATATTGGTAATAATTGATATCAAGTTGAGCTCATATTGATTATTGAAGCAATAGTGATTCAACTAATGTAACACTTTCAGATTAAATAATCTGTAAGTTTTGGCTTTTTTTATCAGAATCACAGTTATGAAAGGCAATTAAATGAATTTCATTGGGAAGAGCAAAGCTAAATAGGTTATGTTTTTTTTGCATTCATCAATTTACATAATCAATCAAACTAAAGTAGCTCAAGTACAGACGCAGCTCATCATGTCAACAGATTAAGATGAAACTGACTAATGAAAGTAATGATTGAAATATTTGAGATTCATTTTTGGATTATTGATGATGAAAGGAAATTATCAATAACGAGTTGGATAATGATGAAAATATGTTTATTATGTTTGCTAATGAGTTGATCAACTATTCAACCCTGCAGAATTAAATCATTTGAATCAATTAAAAATAGTTCATTTTGCCTTTGATGGAGCAAAAAAATTATCGTCCTTTGACCTTTATCAACCTTGAACATGGTAACCTCCATAAAAGTAAAACATTGAGAGAACTGAGTTGAACTAGAAAATCGGTTCACTGGTTCATAGCTACGAAGTAATGGATGATTCTGATGATGAGATGCGTACAGAAAGAAGATGAACAAGACAAACTCAGTGAAAGATTGCAATAAAACTAGCCTTTTATGAGCAAGTTTCCATGGTTTCATGGCAAGAAGAAAGGAAAGAAAGAAAGAGAAAAGAGATAAAATGATAAAAAAAGGAATCGTTGATCGATATAATAGACAAGCTCAAGAAGATGATCAAGATTGTGAGGTTTTTGCCCTTTCCTTTCTATGGCAAGAGAAAGCATTTCAAGGTCACGTGAAACTTGAATTTCACTTTGAATATCATGAACATTGGATATAAATAGGATAGTAAGAAACAAGAACATGGTAAATATCAAGAGATGAAAATTGATGAGAAAAGTGTTGCCATTTATCAATGAAAGTCCATCAAATGATATTCATCCTTTTTTTATGGATCAAAGGATTGCCTTTTCAACCTTTCGATTCAATTGAATCTTCATAAAATAATTAGACTCTTGATGAGATTTTAAAAGGAAAAAAAACTTTTTCTTTTTTTCTCTTTTCTTTTGAATCTCCTTTCAATTATAGTTGTTACCTGTTTATATAACCCATGAAACTGGTTAGTGCCATTTTCATGGGAAGGGGAAAAACGATGGAAATAATAATGTTGATGAATCAGGGGAATTGTAAGGTGTAATGGGCAAGGGTATGAGGTAAAGAGGGAGGAAGATGGAATCATGCAAGAAAACTTTTGCTTTAGAAGAGCGCAAAAAAAGAGAAAGAAAAATATTATTCAGAATCCGGTTTGTCAGGTAACTTGTTATTTCTCAGGATGATTCTTATGAGACAAGCTTCAAGAAACTCATAATAATCATCAGACTTGAGATTCAACTTTCTCTTATCTAGCCTGGAATATAAAATGGACTGATAACTGGTTTTCAGGTTTGAACAAAAAAAATGAACAAAAAAGATTGCAAGAGAAACGAGAAAAAATGAAATGAAATTTTCAAAGGACAATGACATTAATTCATTTCGAGCAACAATTTTTCTGGTGAAAAGTATTGAAATTTTCATGAATCAATAATGAAAAGAGTAAAGTAAAAGGTCGAGAATCATTGACGTTCGTACTGAACTAGTCAGATTTTGAGATTTCATTTGAGAAGCAAAAAAAAGGTTTAGTTGAGTGGAAGAAAAAATGTGAAACAGATTAATTGATTATTCTGATTAAAGTTTTCTCCACTGATCAAGATCAAGGGTAAAACAAATCAAGATTAATCCCTTGGAGAGTGAAATATCAGTAAAATGATGGTGAAATGTAACATTTAGAGTTTCTGTTTCACTTTTTTTTTTCTCTCCTTTGAAATGTAAAAAAAGCAAAAATCAGATTCACTTGTTCATTCAAGCTAATCCAGTCATTTTATCCTCCATTTAACCAAGTAAACCTTGCGAACTGATCAATTGAATGGCAAGAAAAAAGGTAAAATTTCATGACGCTCATTGATCATGAACCGATTCACCATTAAACTGACCTTGGATTTTCATTAGAAGCAATAAAATAAACAAAAACAATCATTAATTGGCAGCAACAATCAAACATCAAAAAAGGGATAAAATTGACAATAGACATTAAACAGTGAATGAGGGAAAGAGTTTAACATTTTATTGACTATCAGTATGAAAATTCATTATCAATCCTCTTCACTGTTTATCATTTTAAAGGATGAAACTTGGAGAAAGGTTTAAGAGCGTTTCCAGTGCCAATTTACTTTGACTTTATATATTTGTCTGTTGTTCATGTTTTGGTGTTGCTTTTGCCTTTTCCACCAACATTCCCTGACAATTCAATGAATTGATGGGAATGGCGAATCAACAGAAGCAGAGAAAAATGGTAAAAAAAGACTCGATTGAATCAACATGAAGAGGGAAAAAAGGGATAAAGAGAAAGAGAAATGAAAAAGTCTGAGGATATCAGGGGAGTTCAGAGGGATGAAGCATTTCACGTTGAGAGCATGACTGAAGAGTTTATATCTACAGTCGTTGCCCCAATTCAAGGTCGATTTTATCCTAAATCATCTAAACTCAGAGAGAAAAGATAAAAACATCAGATAGAGAGCGAGAGAGAAGATGATAATGAAGAGAAACTACGTCGACAAAAGTTGCATGGTTTACCATGGAAACTATTGAAACATTGAAGAAACATTTTCAATGTTTTTTCCTTTCCATCAAAAGTATGGCAACCAACATCACTCTT